GGTCTAAGACCAGCCACAAATAAAAGACACAATTTAAGGTGGTAGAACAGTAGGGACTAAGGGAAAGGATCCTGTTGCTTTCCATTGTTTATCCCTGGAAGGATGACAGGGTTTTGTTTTGCTTCGCTAATGAGGCTGCATGCTCTGGAACCAGCTTGTGAACCACTTTCTGTTTATCCAGCTGATAAGTGAGAGTCCACCGCCTTCTCTCCTCCCTCTCAGTTTTTGTTCTTAAGCTCTCTTGCAAGCTGACAGAGACCACAGAGCGGACAGCACGACATGACCACCCAGTCATCACAGATCGAACCCTGGATGGAAACAAAGGCTGGGTTAGAATGGAAATTCAGGGGTGGCCGCCCCAATATATTTTGCTGCCTGAGGCAGCAAAGACATGATGACTTATGGCCAGCCAAGCTATTTTGGCATGTGATGTTCCTCCCCCTCCCCTCCTGCCCCAGGTCTTCTGTTCCTCCTTGATAATAAAACTGCATTAATACACAAATGAACCATTGGATGTACATTCACGACCCTTCATATCAATTGCTAAGGGCAGCTGCCTTATTCTGCATCATGGTAGAGCTGGCCCGGAAATCAAGCATAAGGGCAATTGTGTGGCCTTTCCTTAGTAGATGGTAAAATAAAAAAATTAAAATTGAAATCCCCACCTTTGACTGGGGACTAAAATTTCTGCTATGGTTTCAGTCGGCCAGACTGAATGTCCAGCAGCCTTTCTCCAATGAGAAAGCTTCCGATATGTTGAATCACTACTCCCACAATCCCCAGACAGCATACCAACGATATTTGAGATCATGGTAACTGTAGTCTAAAATTTCAGGTGGGTGGAAATAGCAAACTCTCTTATGATTTTCCATGTCAAAATGAACTACATCTCATTCCTACAGAAAGAATTTGTGTGTGGCCGAGAAGCTTACGAGGCACTGGACATATTTTAAGCCTAATAAAAGGCAGTCTTCAGGCATAGCCAAGCCCGCCGGCCCCTCTTTTCTATTTGATCAGGAAGGCCACTTATCACGTCCTCTCAGTCTAACCCCTCTCCCCAAATCCCATCTGTATTTGACTTCCCCATGTGTTACCTCGATGTGGTATCTCTCACGCACACCGGTCCGGAGGGCGATGAGGGTGCCTGGCAGATACGGGAGGCAACAGCATTCTCCTGCCTGCTCCGAGACACGGCAGGCAAGGATACAGGGCAC